TCAAAAAAGTACTCCAGAGTGTTGTTCAGCATGGGGGTGAGTAGAAAATGAAGGCTAATCATGTTTTGGGTGTACTATTCCTTTAATAGCTATGAACAGATTCACTGAAAAATGAAATCCAAATAAATAATTTTTTCTAGAAATAAACAGCATTTTCCCTGGATTCGCTCATTTAGACACTATGCCAATAGAATAAGATGATTTGCATTTAGAATACGAAAAACCAAGAGCATTTTGACCTTTATTGATCTTAGATTGGAGGAATTCACCTCTGCATTTAACTCATGCAGAGCAGTGGTTTGCCACTGTGTGGCGCCCGGGGAGCAGTGTGGGGTTAAGGGTCTTGCTCAGGAGCCCAGAGTGCAGGCTGTGCGGATCGAACCAAGTAATTGCATCCTTCTCAGAGCACAAGCGCACTGCTCTAACCCACTAGTTAATCTAAATATCTAATTATCTTATTTTAAGAGCAAAAAATCTCAATTCATTGGCAGATCCTTTTATTTACCTGCTCATCCAAACTTATTTGTATAAAAAAATCAGCATTTGCAGAGTTCCTAATCCACCTAAGTTTTAGAATATGAACAGCCTCTTGCCTTTTTTTGTTAATGCTTTCATTAACTAGACAGTGAGTGCATTAACCCTTTATAGGGCACTCAGTGAAATCCTTTGAAAATCCACATTTTAAGTCAATAGTGTTTTCGAACCCCAGGACAAGACCTTATTACCTTTCTAACATTTTGTTTGCAATAATGAATGTCAATATAATAAAAAGAAATGCTGACTTGCTTGAATATATTAAGAAAAATAACAAAAATAAGTGCTTGTATAAGAAATTCATGAAAAACACAAAGACACACATTTTTTGGTCCAACATAACCTTAGAGGCATTAATGCTGATAGTGGCACCTACATGTTTTAGTTTATAGACCTAAATATAATTGTTAAGTAGGCTTATTAACTTTTTAACTTTTCAATTAGCTTTCTACCTTTTTTTTCTTGACTTATGTAGTTTTTACCTTTTTTTCAACTTGATTCGAGGTAGGTAATATATCATTCATATGTTCATCTAATTGGTCAATTGCCAAAATAAGATGTACAGCCATGTAGCAGTATCTTTGCAGAATGGCTGGATATAGATCTTGTGCTTCTAGACCTCACTGAGGGACGAGGGGGACTCCATTTGTAAGGGGTATGCAAGTGATCAGAAATGGTAACTTGCCCTATAAAGGGTTAACACAAGCATATCTTACTGTTGTGCTCCAGGTTTTTCATCTTCACATAACTGATCAAATAGAGCATTGTGGGACATGTTGCCTGCTTTAAACGTGTAAACAATGTTTTAATGTCTTGTCTGTTGGGTTCTTTTGTTATCATCATGATGAACTTTGTTTCCTGAGATCTTCCCAAAACAACTGCACTCAATTTACAAATCATTTCACACTGAGTCTGGTTCTGCTGGAGGTTTCTTCCTGTTTAAAGGGAATTTTTCCTCTCCACTGTCGCTACAAGCATGCATGTTTCCTGGACGGGGCGGCCTGTGGAGCTGGTTTATTGTTGCATTTTGTATCTCTGCTTCTTTTCTGCATGTCTGCTTCCTCCTCCTGGAACCCCTGCCTTAGCAGATGGCCGCTCACACTGAGTCTGGTTCTGCTGGAGGTTTCTTCCTGTTAAAAGGGAGTTTTTCCTCTCCACTGTCGCTACAAGCATGCTTAGTGTGAGGGATTGCCTTCAAGTCAATAAGTCGATGCAACCAACAGGTTTTCCTTTAGATAGAAAACTGACTGTATGATCTGGTTGAACTGTAAAGTGCCTTGAGATGACACGTGTTGTGAATAGGCGTTATAGAAATAAACTGAATTGAATTGAATTTTATTCAGGTGTGTTGGAGCAGGGATAATAGCTCTTTAGGACTGAACTTGAGTAACCTCTTCAACAGTAGGCTACAGCAGGATCGGTAGCATGTAGGTGCGACAAGTCTGGGGGGCTGGGGGTGCTCAAGAAGTCCATGTGTTTCTTTCACTGGAGAAAGTGTGACATAAGTCAGGGATTTGGCAACGACTGTTTAAAAAATGTGGACAGGAAGAGCTGCAGACTCTTCTTTACAATCCAAAAAAACCACAAAGATTTAAAGACCTGGTTGCAGCTTTTGTTCCTCGGATGTTTTCATTCTGAGAAACGTTGGCAGGAGGAGACAAGGTTTAAGGTTACAGTCTGCAGCAAATATGATTTTCTTTCACAGGAATAATAAAACATATATATATAATTTTGAGCATACAGTATATAATTCATGAAAAACTCATGCTATAACATGGGATTTGCAGAGAATAACATGTAAGGGGTGAGGGTTCCCAATCAAAGGAAGATTGCATCAGGAAAAGCTGCAGCCTCTTTGCTGGCTGTTGATCGACTGCGCAGACAAGGGGGTGGGAGCAGGGCTCAGAGTGGGAGGAGAAAAGGAGGATTTGGGAATATTCTTTGTCCTCGCCCAGCAGTTCAAGCAGCACCACTGGAGAGGCAGCGTCTCCTCAAAACCAAGGGAGAGAGAGGAAAAAAGGAGAAAACAACTGAAGGGCCTCATATTTATAGAAAGGGCCAAAAACTGAAGACAACTTCCAGGATTCCAGGAGACATTTTGAAGGTAAGTTAGAGAAAAAAAATCATATAAATCCCAACAGAGTGAGGCGGCAGCATCACTGCTCAGCTCCTTTCTTTATATATATATGTTTGTGTATATGTAGAAAAAAACGATCCTGTATTTAGTTTTTGTTGTGTGTTTTTAATATCTTTATATATAAAAAAAAATCAAAACACATTTATGAAGGAAAAAGTGATTAGAAGCGGTTAATGTTTCGGTTAAAGCCCAAGTTGAGTTTAGGCGCACAAACTGATGGGAGATGGCGCTAATTAAAAGCTGCAGCGCAATTTAGCGGCGTGTTTGCAGCAAATGCGCAGAGTTGGATGAGCGCGTGGATGTTTGGCGCACATTGATGTTTATGCGATTATATAATTATTACACAAGGAGCCTTTTGATCTTTCCTCCTCCGTTTCCTCCTTCCTCTCCAGGTTTATTCTATTTTTACACCTTTTGCTTTTTTAAAAGTTTGTCCTTTTGTTAATCAGGTAGATTGATGACCCACCGGTGTCTTTACGCATCCTGCGTGGTTCCGCCGTGACGTCGTTTGCCACGCGGAGGATTTTTTTTTTTCTTTTTTTCTCCGCATTCCCTGCAAATGGGATTAGTTGGTTTGCAGTTCACGTTCTGCTGCTTCATGATTATTTGGAGACTTTCTCAGCGCGGATTGGTTCTGGGCTCAACAGGAAGATTAATTTTAAAATATGCAGCTTTAGTTTAGATTTATTTTTCCTGAAAGCTTTTTCCTCCTTTAGCCCCCCCTTGTTTCTTTCTTTCTTTTTTTTAAGGCTGAGGGAGGGGAAATATGAGGATCAACTTTAACCCTTCTCCCAGATGTTGGGGCCACAAAGCTTCTCTGTTCTGCAGCAAATAAAATAACCTCCACAGCTTGGAAACAGACTAAATGCTGCCAAATATCCAACATAATCTGCCCAAAATAATCCAGTGAACATAACTGGTATTGAAGGAACTTATCTGTTTAAAGAAGATGTGAAATGTTCTGATAAATATGGAGTTATGCAAAACTTAGACATCCTTTAATTGGCATTTTATAGACTCTCAGTTTACAAAAAGAAATTTCATTTTGTGCAGCTCTCATGACATTTCCATTAAAGCGCAGCAGTGATCAAATTTAAAGTAATA